ACACGATTACCGTGTAAACTTGAACCTTGTCCGCTTACCAAATGTTTAATAAGTACAAACAATAAACTAACAATTTTCCATCAGAACATTAATTAATTAACAATAGCGGCATAGCGCACTACATTTTAAGAAAAAGTCACGACACCGATGATGAGCTACATTTTTGGGAGGAGTAGCTGTATAGCATTAGGGCACTACAAAAAATTAGTAGCGTCCTGACCACTAAACATAGGTATAAGTACCTATAGTATCAATAGTATCTACGTTAACAATATCACTAATACCTTCATATTAACATTTTTTTAGAAAATATTATCTCTGCTATTTTTAATAATTATTTAAATATTTATAAGTAGGTACTTATACTCAGTATTCTGATCCTTTTTAAGATTCTGAACGAAGTGATGAATGTATTGATTTTACAATGATGATTGTTTTTTTTTTTGTTTGTTTGTTTGTTTTTGTGTCTATGTACAGCATAACTAGTCGAAATAATGCTACAATTTCAAACTTTGAGGGTGGTTTCCGATGTAAAAGTGAATATCCTTGGTGCATTATGGTCAAAAGTAAACATTTACCAACAGTTTTAAAAAAAATCGAGAAAACTCAGAAAAACAAAAAAAAAATGACAGAAAAACGGGAATTTTTACACAAAACCAGTTTTCGACCAAATCGATTTTTTTTTATATATTTAGAATTTAGATAATTATCTTCTATACCGTGGTATCGTCGTTGATATCACAAAAAATACTATAGTCCCCCCCAACAAAATCATCACGCTACGCCAATTGATATATATGTAAGTGTAATATACATATATGTAATGATAGAACAACAATACTGGTTCTGATTTCTGAATTCTATTTTGGTTTATTACTTCGATTATGGTTTTATTAATTTTAATTTTAATCAGTTTGAAATATATTTAAATAATGCGTTCCAATAATAAATGGCAGATAAAAATTGTCAAAGCAATTCACAGACCACAATGGAAAATGACCATTGGCGAAGGTATGAATCGTTTTTTTTTGGGGGGTGAGGGGAAATATTTAAAACCTCACTTTAAATAATCATTGATAACGTCCTAATGACGTTAATAAGTTGCGAGTAATATCGTGCTGAATATCCAAATGATTAAACTGTTGAACATTTATTATAATATAATCAAAACTTCTTCTTCTTCTTTTCCTTCGTCTTCTCTTCCAATTATTTGGGGTCGGCCACCTTGGTCCTCAATTTCCAATTAATAATATAATCAAAACTAAATATGCAAAAGAGTAAAAAATCCTCTTAGGGGGGAGGTAATGCCACTGTGGGCCACTCAACATAAATATGCCACTGAAAATGACTTTGGCGCATTCAAAATATCAGTTCTAGTTTTGAAATATTTAAATTAGCGTTCTGTTTTAAATATTTTTGGCCTTGTATTTTACCTGGTAAACCTGGGAGGGTTCCTGCAGTCATTATTTAATGTGTGGGGACCTTATTTTTTTTTATAGTAATTGGCGAATTATAGTAAATTTTCGAATATTGCAAGGTCGAAGCTGAACTGTTGAACCTACACCTATAGGTACCATTTACCGGATTTACCGGATTCACATAATTTGAATTTTGAATTGAAATATAAGATTGTTTTAAATTTTTATTTTTTCACTGATTACAACAGTTATAATGGTAGATATAAAATATATGTACAAGCATTTTATACATTACACTCAACAATTCAAAGCGCAACTGTACAAGAATAGGTATTTCGGTAAATTGTTTTTTTCAGGGACTTTTTTACCGGAACTTTTTGTTCCGATTACYATTGCACGAATAGAGACGAATTACCTACGTATTACGTAGTAGCATCATAGTTGATAGGTGCAATTTCTATAAAAAAAACTAAGGAAGCTTAAGTTATGTATTTTATCATTTTTTTTATTTGAAAGACATTTTTGATACATGAACACAAATATTATTTGAGGGTGCTAATTTTAAAATGGTTTCTGTAGTTCAATTGGTAGTTGTGACTGTTGTGAGCTGTGACTAACTATAATATGTGACTAACTATATAAAAAAAATATATACATATATAGAAGGGAACTCCAACACAATATATTATCATTATGATCGTCGTTATCAGTTTATCACCGGACGGCGGACCGCCGTATTATCACCATTAAGCGAACGCTGACAATTCATGTTGAGTAACATTGGAATAAATTTGTGGACTACGAGGTCTCAGGTATGACGACTAAATGTATTCACGAAATCGTAGTGTTCGTACTTAACACTTTAACAGTAATTCATTAAACATATTTTAATAAATAATATTAATTAATAGTAATTAAAACAGAACGTACCAATCACATTCACAAGAATAGTAATATCCCCAAGATCGACTTGATTACTTTTATTATACGCTTACGGTTTACACGACGTCGTGCGCGCTATCATTTTTAATCCCTCAAATGATCATTGTAAGTTGGTGAATAATTTATTTATCATTATTATATTATTGTTACAAGAAAAAATGATAAAAACAATATTATAATAGTTGGCGCACAGCTGCAGCTGATGAAGTGATGACTACCAGTGCCATTACGAATTTTCAAGTTGAACCTGTTCATCGTTTGATCGTATTCGTGTATTCGTGTTTCCATATTATGGATCGTCAAACTGATTGATCACAAACTTTATTATAATTTTTCCGATTTCCCGAGATTGATGTGCTGCCRCCCGGCCAAATCACTCGTTCGATCACACCCATAGGTATACCTACCATAATAACATCGCCGATCGTCGTCGAGTTCGGCCACACGTCCGTCGATAAGGGTGAGTACGTACACTTTTTTACCACACATTTTTATAAAAATGTCCGTTGGCCCACCTTTCACAACAAGAGTTCTGAGTACGTGACCACTTCACTTGCCAAGTTACCTGAAGTATCAGTTTGCGTGTTATGGTCTTTAAATATGTGATTGTCCATAACAACAAGTTCTATGTCTTTGCCTGCGTTCCTGTTTTGTTATAATTCTGTTTTGTAGCTTCGAGTGGCATACAGTTGAAACATAGGGCAATCTGAATTCTGTCTCCTTAGAATTTATTGGTTTTTATTCTCTACCAGGCGACGATGCAGTGTAACATTCGTCAACATTTCCTGCTGATGTTTTGTCCACTGCCAAGTTAAAGGAACTACTTTCATCATGCCCAACAACGGTCACGATCATGAAGAACTGGTGGTTTTGCCACCAAACGCCTTGGATATGAGGACAACAGGAGTGAATAACAACAACAATAATAATAACAATAATAACAACAACCAGGCATTCAATGTACGAGACCGCTTGTTCTATGCTTTGTTCTATAAGGCCACCCTGGGGTATGCGAGGATTTTCCCAAGATCTCTAAGGAGGCTTATAGAATTTGTATTTTTATTAAAGGTAAACTTTTGCTCATTACCGAATGTCGATGCTGACAATTTGGAATTTAATATTTGTGTTTTTTGATTTTAGGCTGTTTTGTCATTTTTTGTACTTGTTTATGTKCACATGAATTTCTCACGAATGCCGGCCAATTGTTTAGACCATGTTAAAGATGTATGGCCTAGAGATGGTATACTCCGAGTGGAGATAATTCGAAGTTACCAACGTAGTCATGCAGAACAATTAGGGACTTTAAATGAATTGTTCACAGTTGAAAAATCATATGAACGTGAATATAAATTAAAACGTCTGGATGCAAGTGATGAAAATGCATCATTGTTCAACCGCTTCACTAAAACTAATAACCCCGAGTAAGTACCAAATAATTATTAAATTAATTGTTCTAAACAAGCAATTCATTTTAATACCTTTTGAAAGTTGGTCTTCTAACAATGTGMCTACTACCTAATTGAAAAAAAAAATATATACTGATATTAAAATTCCTAGAAAAGACAAAGACCTAGAAATGTCTACCTAAGTATTAATTATTAATTAACTAAATATTTGTTTTCAAAATTTACATTTTTCAAACTATTGAGTATATTATGTTTCTAAGGTTTTCTTAAACTTTTGAAGTTATTTTTTTTGTTGATATTTTTTGATAATTTTAATGAAGACAACAGACTTCATTTATATTTTCTATATATTTAATAACATTTTTAGSATTGGTATAAATAAACTAAATATTTGAAATATCTTATTGAACATAATTAATCATTTAAGTAAAGACATTTTTTATATGTTTAAAACCAATCTTTAAGTGGACTTGATACCTGCATACGTTGTATCCGTCGTACAATTGTGTAACATGGCAAATTGTATGCTCATAAAATCACATTATTTAGCTTCATTAGTTAAGAATTTAGAGTGAATTRACTACTTATAGAACTTAAAAGTAAGATTATTATCTAGTCAATCTCATAGAATTTTTATCATATATTAATTTAAAAGCGAGTTATGAGTATTTTAAAATAATTGTAAATTGTTTGTACCTACATCTTAAGATATTTATAATTCGAGTTAAAATAAAAATATAATAAAAATAGATTGTTGTTTAGTATTGACTAGATAATAATGTTACCTTTAAATTTTATAATAAATCAATTCACTCTAAATTTTTAACTAACTGAGCTAAATGTGATTTGATAAGTGTAAAAATTGCTATGTTATGCATATGTTGTAAGACGTAGACTACACATACTGGCATGACAATTTCTGAATCTTGAATGCAAAAGTTATATAGACAGTAATACAGTATACTTTTCATAAGTAAACTCTTTTATTTCGTATTGTATAAGGATTAAACTATAAGAATATGGGGCGGTACTTTCAAAACTCATCACTAAATATCAAAATTAAGTACTCTTTTAATAATATATATCTTAAAAAAGCTATTTCTCACTTCAATATATGTAATATAGAAACTGTTTCATGTTAATAATCTTGAATTACTACCTAGAATTCAAATATTATTATATAAATATACTTATAAATACTAATGCATAATTTTAAAACTAGACTATAAGAAAAAAGCAATGTAAATCCCTTTATATGTAACAAATTATTTGGTACGATGTTTCCTTTAAATATTGTTACTGATTTGTTGCATAGTAAAAATATTGATACTGATTCTTTTCCTACATTTATTAAATATAACCTGCAAGCACTGTCTCCATCTTACAAATGTGTAATGAGGCAAATTGTAAATTCTGAATAATCTATTTAATTCTGTTGGAGCATATTGACCTATTCCCAAATTTAGAATATTATCTWGTGAACTTCATAGGTTTTTTTTTTTTTACTTTAATTAAAAAAAAAAATATGAGGTTCTCTATATAATATTTTTAAATTTTATAATAGGTCAATTTGCTCTTATATCAAACATACATGAGTTAAATAAATTATTCAGAATGTACAGTTTGCTGTTATGCATTTGTAAGACTAAGATAATTCTTGAGAGAATGCACGCACAGGTGTAATGCTCTTTTAAAAGGATGTCGCATCCACATGTGTTGTTTCCGTCTTACACTTATACGACATACCAAATTTCTGTTCTCTAGTTTCAATAGGGTGCTCTCAGTATTGATGTCAAAGTGAATTGACCTATTCTAAAACTTTTAGGTAAGAACATTATCTATATTCTCTCAATCTGTTTTATAAGATATTTTTTTTTAAAGTGAGTTATGAGCATTTAATATTTTGAAACTAGTGGATGAAAATTTGGTATGTGGTACGTGTGTAAAATGGCGACAACACATGTGGGTGAGAACTGAGAGGTCTTCTTAAAAGGGCGTAATACCTGCATGCACTCTCTAAAGGATTATCTCTGTCTTATAAATGCATAACAGCAAATTTTACATCCTCTTGAGAAATATATTACAAAACTTATTAATAGCTATTTAATTAGGTAAGATAAAATGTATGAACACATTGTTTTAATTTTAATTTTTTTTTTTTTTTGAAACGAAAACTACAATAAAACTTTATAATATGTATAACCTGCTTTATAATTATACTTTATATCGTTATAATATTATTATAATCCACCAAATTGAAATAAGTTTACTTAGAGTTTTGGTTAGAACGTATTTTGTTAATAAAATACCTAATGTATTTAAATATTTCTGAAATAAAGTTCTATTATTATTATTTTTATCTCTATAATTTTGGTTTTTTAACATGTGCTGGTATAGGGTTCTTTTAGTTACTTTTTTATAATACGGTTACAACCATCATAGCTAATTTCAAAATGTTGCAACACATCTTGGTAAATCTCAACTATTAAACTTTTGAACTTGAATTTGTAACTTATTTTATTACTGAACAATTTGTCCATTAATGTTAGAAAATCTTATAATAAATTTAATATCTTATAATACAATTTTATTTTTAATTAATTAAAAATATGTTGGATAAAACCTATAGATAATTTGTTTTAAAAAAGTTTGGGTAACTTTTATTATTTTTGTATTATAATATTTCAGTTAAGAAATTATATAAATTACATAATATTTTATGCATGTATTTGATTTATTTATTTCTTATTAAATGTCTTTCAACAAAATGGAAATACATAAAAAAAATTACAATTAAGTAATAAGTATTTTTTGTTTTATCTTACATAAATATTAATAAATTTAATATAAATTAATAGATTTAAGTATTAAGCAGAACGCAGAAGAAGAAAAAATGTAGATTGGACTTAAATTAATATATTTTAAATATTGGATAATATAATTATGTGATAATTACATATTAGATTATAATACATATGTAATATTTACACTAGTATTTGTTTATTAATAATATCAAGTATAATTTTTAGTGTATTTAAAATTACTTTATAACCAATTATTTTTTTTCAGGAACAAAGGAGAGGTTGATATTGAACCATCTACAGAAGAGTTAGTTGAAAATAAATTTCAAGAGACATCTCAAA